TATAATATTTAAATATTAAATATCTGATTTTTGAACAATGAAACCTTCAATCTAATTTTTGAATAGTGATCTTGAAAAGTAGGGCACAGTGTAATTTCCACTTTTATAATTTACTCTGTGAAACAATATTTTAAAATCGATCTGGAAAATGAAGAGGGTCAAGAGTTGAACCGGGATCTAATCGAGGTTGACCTGTTGATTTTTAAAAAATTTAAAATAAATAATTTACCCAAAAAAATATAAATGAGAATAAGCGCTGTTTGGTAAAGATTGAAATTAGATTTTTAGTAGATTTTGATAAAAATTAATGAAATTTGTAATTAAAAAGTTATGGATTCCATGAAATATGTGGTTAAAATTAATTAGAGTTGTTGTAATTTTGATTGATCGGAAAAAGGGTAAGGGTTGTGTTCATCTTATTCTTACTTTTTTTGTTCCTAAAAAAATATTTGACAAACCCGCATAAACCGTAACTGGTACACGATTTTTTATTAAAACCGGTCGGTTACTGATTTCTACACCAGTTTGTGTCTCAATCGATTTTTTTTTCACTGTGATTGGACCGAATTTTGGTTTGGCTCTCGATTTTTTCGATTGAACTGATCAATCTAATCCGATTTTCACAATATTGATATTAAATTATTAAAACCAAAAATACTAGATGACAAATGAAATATGTTTACACAAGTCTCGTCCGATATTCACAACATTGATGTTAAATTATTAAAACCAAAAATACTAGATGACAAATGAAATATGTATACATATATACTTATAAAAATAGGCCATCCACAACATTGTGTAATTATTTTTCAATTCAGTATATTTCGCGATGTTCATTAATGCCATTTTCTAAATTGAATAAGCAATTCAGAAAAATAATGATGGCCAAAAACAATATTTTTTAAAACAAATTTTGGACATATGCCATTTGAAATAAATTGAATTTCCAGAGAATGTCAAGGCACAATTATATTGCATGAAGAATGTAGATTTACATACACAAATTCATGGTGTCTTTATTACGATTTTCACACTATCAACAATAATTTCTTGAAACATATTCACTCACTATATATATCCAAACACACAAAATCAAATATTTTTTGAAGTAGGATTTACATACTCTCATTAAATTTCGTATATAAAATGTATAAAAAATTTAAAGGCAAGCGATAAAGTCCTAATCAACTGAAATTGAGAATTAGATGGTGGATATGTGCGAAACAACGTGTATTATTCTTTCTGATAGATCTATAGAAGAACGAATTGGTGATTAGGTTTTGGGAATTTTTTGGTGGATGATTCGAGGAAGAGACGATTTGAAGGAGATTTTGGTTTGGAATACGAAACGACAAGATTTTAGGGATTTTGTCATTAATTTGACATGTTAATGGCGCTTTATTGAAGCATGATTTGAGGACCGTTTATTGGAGTAAAATTGATTTAGTTATTTTTCCACAGTTCTATTTTTAATAAATAAAACAATATTTATAGTTAAAAAAAAGTTGCATAGTATATTCTAAAAATTTATTAAAAAATAGGTGAGTGGCACATTTCCTCACTCTGTTAAAGTGGTAAAGAATGAATTCAAGTCCATGTTTGGTATTAATTAAAATGAGATTTTAAGTAAATTTCAATAAAAATTAATAAAATGTATTGTCAAAATTAATTATTGACTTTGACTTGAAATTAAAATCAAATTTTAATCTATACCAAACAGGGGCTAAATTTCTTTGCGTATGCAGTTTGAGTGGGAGCTAGTATAAGTAGACCTATTTTGGAAAATGTCCTTGAATTAAATGGATAACGAAGTATTAATCATCAAAATCATTCATTTGAAATCATAGTCTAACTTCATTTATCCGTGTAATGAATAAAAAATTGTAAATGGCAAATAGACCAAGTTGTTCGTCGGCTCTTCTCAATCCATGAGCAAGCTTGGTTCATATTGAGATGAGTCGACCTGCGGGTCCGTTCCATGAGCCAATCGTCCATAGCTCATGGGGCAAGTCCACGAGCCGGTTGGCTCGTGGGCTACTTCATCATTTGGACAATTGATCAAATTTTAATTTTTTCTAAAAAAATATGGAAAACCTTTGTTTCTATATTCCCCACTTCATTTTTTTCCACACAACTCTACATTCCTAATCTACAATTGTTATAAACTCCATAATATTTTTTTTCTTGTGCAATCTCAAGTTTTATTGTCTCTAATTTTTTTTTTTTAATTTGAGTTATTTCTGTCCAAAACTAGTACAAAGTATACTATTTTGTATGGTTCTTCTATATATTATCCAAATAGATTACAACAGATTGTTGAAAATTGATTACTTCAACTAATTTTTTGGTGACTTCAAAAGTAAATGATGGGGACTCTGAGAATCATAGTAAACAGTAAATCCAATCTTTATCAAAATTACTAATAAATGATTATAATGTCGTAACAGTATAATTACATGCTCAGGTGATTGCAATAACTCCAATGATTTTGTGTAGCGTCTTGAGTCATTTTTTTATTTTAGTTCTGACCATAAATATTTTAATATTTGATGAGTGACATTGCAATAGGCAAATAATGAACAACCATGGTTTGTCGATTGCATTATGACACTAATCAAATATTGAAACATCTATCTGGCCAATACTCAAAAATGTATGAGCCAAGACTACACAAAATCGATTCATTCATTACAAGCACCCATCGTTGTTACAATATATTTGAGTTTATTTTTTAGTATATATTATTCCAGACGTGAGTTTTAACTAATTCCACATCTATATAAAAATACAAATTGGACTTTTTAGACATTGACTTTAATAAATTGGCTCCTTACATGGCCTTCCATAAAATTTTGAAACAGTTCTTTATCACATCTTAGAGTCGTCTCTTTCGAATTATCTCTTTAAATACAAAGAGAGGACTTTAGGAAGTAATTTAAAAAAAAAAAAGGATTTCGTAATTTTGCAATAGGTCTATCGAAATGTGGAATTGGCTGATGACTACGTAGAGCCTTTGCAGGATTCGAGGTGTGACAATGTGTCAAATTGAAAAAAAAAATGAACATGGCGAATGAAAGAGGTGTGATATGCTTGTTTATTGTCGATACGAAGTATTAATATCACGACGAAAAGTGGTAAATATCTTCCGCAATCTAATATGAATATTTAAACAGATACAGAACCTTTTCCTTTTGCTTTAATTTTTCCATTACATATAACTCTTAACGTTATCTCTCTGTTACTTTGTATCTGGGAAAAAAATCTATGGTACATCTTATCAACAATCCATCTCAAAACTACACACTCCCCTGCTTTCAGTATCATCCTCTCCAACTTCCTCAATCTCAATTCCTGAGAATGTATGTAACCTGATTCTGATACTATAAAAGATATTTCGCATTCAATGTATCACCGAAGGAATTTAAAAAGACACCGCAAACTTGGACTATCCAGGTATCCCAAGTGACAAAGGGACAAGGAAGTGTGTTGATCGGGGCACAAGAGCAAGAGTGCAAGACTGTATGATACAAGATATTGAATTGCGGTGAAATATCTTGTATTTCAATCATCAAAACATTCAATTATAAGTTAAGAAGGGACTTTTAACTAATTAAATCATGAATGAGCCTACTCATGAAGAAGAGTTCTAAAATTTTGATAACGTGAATTCAGCATGGATGTCTTATTCGTATGGCATGTTCAAAATGATGTCTTTGTCGGATGGAGAGATGACAAACTTAAGTCGAGAAAGCGGTAAAAGTAAACTTTGGAGGAGAAGTTTTTAAAATTAATTTGCTTGATTTCCCTTTCGAAAAACTCTTCGTCTTAAAAATCTTTGGGATGGTTACACAATTGTCACAATTAGTAGAGAATGTCACGCGTCATTGAGCGTTGAACATTGCATTTTTGTACTTAATTCGTATATTACATGAGAAATTCACTTTATTTTTATAATTAAAATGTAAAAACATCCAGTATGCACAAATTTTAAGCTTATGAATTACTTGATTTATAAATTTCATTTATTGTCTAATTTACATAACAAATGTTAATCACACATATAAAGGATAAAAAGGGAAAAGACCTAACGATAATTTATTTATTTTCGAACTAGACAAGGGTAGCATTACTCCTCTTAAAGTTTTAATAAATTCGATATTCGAAGATAAAAATTCAAGTGAAGGTTTTAAAATTCTTCTAAGAAAAATTTTGAAGGTGGAAATAAAAAACTAGTTGAAAGCGAGGGACGATGATACCAACGTAAGACGAATATCATTCAAACGTTAATTTTACGAAAGTTCCATGAAATTGATTAACGCGCTCTTTGGATTCTTGATTGATCAATCACGACAAGCCAGAATAAAGAAACAAATCTTGGTGGACTCGAAATATATGCTTCTCATCCGGTCGTCCCTCCTTTGTGAAGAGACCTAAAATTCTTTCATAGTGGACTTCTTTAAATTCTAGTGCAGACATAGCAAGACCAAACGCCATTTTTACGCTTCATAACTGGTGAATCTTGAAAGAGCCTCAGGCCCTCAACTCGATGGAATCCTCAGTGGCAGCCGATCTGGTTCAATTCTTGAATGCTTCTCCAACAGCTTTTCATGCAGTTGGTAATGATACTGTCCAAGATAATTCTGAGGATATGTGTTTTTCAATTTAATTTCATAGTTTTCTCATAAAAATATTTATTTTTTGTTCTTTCTGTCATTTTTTTCTGGTGATTATATTCTTATATGTTGATTACGAGACTGTTTTTATGTTTTGGTTTCTGAATTCTGTTCAAGATACCTGTTTGATAGAATTAAAATCTAAATTTTAATCAATGTCAAAGTCTATAATTAATTTTTAACCAACACATTCCACAACTTTTCACGCATTTCATCAACTTCTATCAAAATCTACTAAAAATCTAATTTTAGTCTCCACCAAATACATAGACGTATCTTTAGAGAAAGAATATAAAATACACGATACACTTATCAAGATTGACTTTTTTATTTAAAATTACCTCTTTAAAACATTTATTTTTACTGTTTTCCTTTCATTTTCCCGGGACTTAAATTTTATTTATTGATCAAGAGCATATTTGTAAGCTTAGAAGTTCATTTATAAGTAAAAACCAAGTTTGAAGTAAATTTTTATTGATGAAAGTAAGTAAGTTACTCATTTTGATATTAAAGTAAATGAGGTAAGAGAGAATTTCATAGAAAGTTAACTCTTTTTACTTAAAGACTGTTTATGCAAACATATTTGGGAAAAAAGTTTACTTAAAGTAATTTACTTCTTTTTAGGCTTAGCCAAACTTGTACTAATAGTATCGTTTTAACTTTTGGTTTCTGGTTCTGAATTTAAAAGGTTACTTAGAGTAATTTACTTCTTTTTAGGCTTAGCCAAACTTGTACTGATAGTATTGTTTTAACGTTTGGTTTCTGGTTCTGGATTTATTTATCAGAGGAAGCCAAGAAGAAGTTAATAAGTGCAGGGTATAAACAAATATCAGAGAGACAGGAATGGGATTTAGAAGCTGGCAAGAAATATTTCTTCACCAGGAATCACTCCACTATCGTTGCTTTTGCTATTGGTGAAAAGTATGAAATCCTAGTTTATCACTATCACTTCCGAATGCATTATTTCTTTATTTCTCTGGATAAAAGATGGTTTCAATTTTCCATTATTTTTATATGTATATGGAAATAAATGAAAAAAAAGAGAGAGAGAAAAATGAGCTCTTAATCTATGTAGTTATTTTGTGGGACCAAGTATTTTCTACTGTGTATAGTTGTTGAGAATGAGAATTTCTTAATTCTCTTCTCACAATTTAATTCTGATGTGTATAAGAAAGTTTCTAATACTCGTGTACAAGACTGCGTGTCAAGGAAATTGCATGAATGTATGGACTTTGAATGTGAATTGATTGGCTGATATGGATTCATTTTTTGAATAGATATGTTGCCGGGAATGGATTTTATATAGTTGGTGCTCACACTGATAGTCCATGCCTGAAAGTAAAGCCAGTTTCAAAGGTGATTGATGACTCATATGCTATGGTTTACATTTAAAACCCTTATATTGGTTGAGAGGAAGATAATTTAGTGCTAAAATTTGAATTACAAAACTTCAGGTATCGAAAGGTGGGTTTCTGGAAGTTGGGGTGCAAACATATGGAGGGGGCTTGTGGCATACATGGTTTGACCGCGATTTAAGTATTGCCGGAAGAATAATAATAAGAGAACGGAAAGATGGTTCAGAATCCTACTCACACTGGCTTGTCAGAATTGAGGAGCCTATAATGCGAATCCCTACATTGGCAATTCACTTGGACAGGTTCTTCCGTTGGAGATTCTTAAGTTGGTATATGACGCATGTTTATTTTGATAACTCATATATGCTGTTGTCTTCGTTGGATTAGAGGAGTTAATGATGGATTCAAGGTGAACACAGAAAGTCATCTTGCTCCAGTATTGGCTACATCAGTTAAGGTAACTTCAGAAATATATT